TAACTAATATTGATGATTACGAGATTTATGGTTCAAACCATGCTAACCAGTTAGTGCAGTACTTAATTTGATCGCAATGAAGAAAATTTGCCTTCACAAGAGAAGATTTCTTATTCATCCAAACTAGTACATCCTGAATTAAATTGAATGATATACAAATTTGACATGGATACAGAACAAAATGTTAACAAGGATACTATGAATCTACACCAAGAATTGTACTAATAAATCTACACCATATAATAAATTTGGCCATTCTTACAAAAAATGGTTTTTTCGCCTTTTGACATAAAAAATGGTCACTTCTGCAAAAAAATAATAATATTAATAATGAAAATAATCAATAATAAATAAAAATTGGCCAAAATTTTTCAACCCTACCTCCAAAATTGGTTATAATTTAAAACACCCTTTAAACTTTTAAATGAGCTGGTTGACAGTTTTCTTGAGATTTTTTTTATTGCATTTCTTATACGTTTTCAACAAGTTAATTCTTGGTTGTCTCTTGACATTCTTAGCTATATTATACTCTATATCTTGTGCTTAATAATAACTTATATTTCCATTCTCATCCAAAAAAAAAGTACTATCAGCGAGTGAAACGAACATTCTTTATATATAGGTGGACTAGGAATGAGAAAATTTTCAAGCTATAAATTAGTAAACCGGGAAGTAAAATTCTTAAAATGCTTTAATACTAACAAGATTACAATTGCAATTGTGATAAACTATGCTAGGCATTGGACCATGTCGTATGCAAGCACCGCTATGTAATGTTGATAATCGTGGTCCTCATTACATCCCACAGTAGAATCACATACAATGACTAGAGCACTTATTCTTTGGCCCTTAGCACTTATGGTAGTGTTGTTAATGTACTTTCGCCTTCCAATAGACCATCCCGTCTATAGCACAAAAATATTTAGCAATGACTCAAACTATTAGCCAGCAAACAGATTACATTATTCCAGTAGACAGATTGCACTAGTTAAGCTTCACTGTTCAATGCCATTTTCACCACATTATAACAGCAAACAAATTGCACTAGTCAAGCCCCACAGCTCACTGCTATTTCTAGCACACGGATTGCACTATTCAAGCATCACAAAGTGCACCGATTAAGCTCACAGCTCACTGTTATTTACCTTCCCTTGTGCTGTAGTATCTCTATTCTATATATATGCTGTAATCTCCATTTACAGCATCATCAAGGAAACACAGTAAAATATAGAATATTTTCCTTCATCTCTTCTTTTATCATGGCAACAGAGCATCTTGATCTTTGGGATCTCTGAACACTTTCGCATCTTCACCATGGCAGACACCATCGTCACCTTCACACCAGCCCAACTTGTCAGTGATCTCACTTCACCTTATTTCCTGACTGCTGCAGATAATCCCAGTGCTATTTTGGCCCTAGAATTACTCACTGGTGACAATTATCCCACACGGCGTTGCTCATGCGAATGGCTCTCAATGCCAAAAATAAATTGGTTATGAATTATGCTGAAAATACCAATATAGTTCTCAATACACAAACTTGTTATGAATTATGTCATCATGTGAAAAGTGATAGGGTCAGTCATATATTCCAGTGTACAGTTCAACAGGGCTAGGCCACTAATTTAATCTATCAAATATCATTAATTATTTGTTTCTGCCGTGGCTTCTAAACTTTTCAACATCAGTGACAGAGACTGATATCTTAACTAAATGGTAATCTACATCTAATTTTGCACTCTGACAGAACTGGTCAAAGAACACCAACAAATTGCCATACATCTAATGTCTTCTGGGATTTTCAAAGGAAAATAGAAATAAAAATTGGGACAAAATGTAGATGAAATCTTAAAAAATGAAAAGATGACAGAGGATTGAGACATGGTATTCAAGTTATTTGATGGTTCCTTTTCATATGGCTTTCTTATCTTAATAATAATCACAAAACTTACGAGGTTAAAGACAATATATAAATATGAATATATAAAATTTACATCTCGCTAATAACTTAAAGTTTCAGATGAGATAATTTAATTGGTTTAAGTATTACCGTTAATATGAGCTGCATGTGAGATAGTGCATAGAAAATAAAATATAAATAATTAATAGCATCTCATTTTTAATAGCTCGAGCTTCTGCGTGAATATACAGAAAAACGCAGCATAGTTTACAGTCATGGTTCTATTTGAACCCTCCCATGGACTTTATGACTAACCTTAACATTATTTATGAATACTAATCTGACGTATTTCATTTTTGTATTTCTTTTACCTTGAGCACAATCTTGGCATTTTCTTTGGCCAAACTATATATAAACGAATTCTTTGATCAGAATTTGCACCAAACTCAATCATCTCATCAATACTTGTGTTTTGATTCGAGAGAAAAGATGAAGAAATTAAGCTCAGGAGCTCTTCTTTTTGTGGTACTCTTTCTTGTTACTCATTTTTCAGAGGCTAGACTTCAAGAGTGCAAGCCAAGTGGCAAAATAATTGGAAAAAAGCCTCCCCCTGGACAATGCAACCAGGAAAACCAATCTGACTGCTGTAAACAGGGAAAATCTTACACCACCTACAAATGTTCACCATCAGTGTCCGGTAGCACTAAGGCAGTTCTCACGATTAACAGCTTCGAGAAGGGTGGAGATGGCGGTGCACCATCAGAATGTGACAACAAGTACCACTCCGATGACACACCAGTTGTCGCTCTGTCAACTGGATGGTACAGCGGAGGATCAAGATGCCTTAACAATATCACAATAACTGCTAATGGCCGAAGTGTAACTGCTATGGTGGTTGACGAGTGTGATTCTACCATGGGATGTGATGACGACCATGATTATCAACCTCCATGTGATAATAACATTGTCGATGCCTCTAAAGCTGTATGGAAAGCCTTAGGAGTATCTGGCAATGTGGGCGAGTTGGATATCACCTGGTCCGATGCCTAGTACTAAATCGTAAAATTTAGTTATCTATTATCTATTGTCTAGATCACTGTTTTATGATTTGGTTTGTATTGTAAATTTCTTATTGCGTGAATGATGAAAATATATCTTTGTATAATGAATTCTGCCTTGTGTTGTTGATAAAGCACTAAAGTAAATATTTATATGACTATCGTGATCAATCTTAACGAGATCATCTTATGTTGTTCCTACAGCACCATCTGAACTCGAACTAGTCGAGATGTGTATTGGATGATAGAGGACTTTTGCTGTATACAGATAGTACAACTAGAATTCAATGCTAACTCAACAATATGACATATTATGATTATATTTGATTTGCTTCTCGTAAATGCCCGATATTTTACTGAAGCTGATATGAGCAAGCTCTCGATCAAAATTAATCAACTGAAATGTTGAGCAAATTAAAACCGGCGCTTCCGCGGTTTTATTTAAGCCACTCCATGAGATTCGATTTCCAACACCTCTTAGAGTAGCTCCAATCGTGGTGAAAAATAGATCTAAATTGTGAATTAGATCTCCAAAGTGGCCGAAAACCTCTCGAGATGCAAAAGAAAATTATTTTTTTCGGTAAAAAATGTAAATTTATATCTATAAGATGCAAAAGGTGGATTTAAATCATCAAGCAAAATTCAAATTTAGATCCACCGGGATATAAATGAGGATGCAAAAGTGATTTTGAAGATACAAATTTACACTCAATTTTACGCCACCATTGGAGACGCTCTTATGTTGCTAGCACGGGTAAGAGGTATCTTGGTGAAATGATTAGAAGACCAGTCCTTGGTTCCTCCATTATATTGTAAATGTTGGCGTGAGCTATTAGAACCAATTTAGGAACAAAATATGGAATTCCTCTCATGATTCCACCCACAGTAGCCAAAAATAGATTATATAGCTAAAAATAGTTTTTTCTTATTCTATTTATTTGTAACCTATCAATGTAAAAATATATGCAATAAAATGGAAAAAGATCACATGGTATCAAAGCAGCACGTTTTATAGGGTTCTACCATTACCACCACCTCCTAGCCAAAGCTTCAATTTTTCCGACCATGGAGGACATCAGAACTGAAGAAAAATCTGGTGACTCTTGTGGTGATCCTGACACCCTTCTCATAGATATAATTACCACAAAAATGACAGAATTTTTGACCAAAGCCAAGATCCCAACTATGACCCATGAAACTACAGCCGGCCAGATTGGTGTCAAGTTGGATGGTTCCAACTACGCTCTATGGTCCCAGGTTGTCGAGATGTACATCTCCGGCAAAGACAAACTGGGTTATATCAATGGTGATTTCCCTCAACCCTCTCTAACTCATCCCTCTTTTCGAAAGTGGGGCACCTAAGATGCCATCGTCAAAGGTTGGTTGATAAACTCCATGGATCCAACACTCATTGTTAATTTCATTAGATTTCCTGCTGCCAAATCAGTTTGGGATGCCATTGCTACTACATTTTTTTATTGCAATGACTCTTCTCAAGTCTATGACCTTTGACGACAAGTGTCTCGACTGAAACAAGGCAATGACTCCCTTGAGAAATACTACTCCGAACTGCAGGGACTTTGGCAAGAAATTGACTTCCTTTGCCCCAATCCAATGATATGTGCTACTGACATCAACAAATATAACTCTCTGGTCCAAGAAGAACGAGTATACAAATTCTTGGATGGAATTGATGACCAACTGGATAGTGTAAGAGGCGATGTTCTCCAGATGAAACTGTTTCCAACCATTGAACAAGTATATGCACAGGTTCGCCGGGAAGCACTCCGACAGGCTGTCATGACCACCGACCCTGCCACTATCTCTAGTGCGGTTCTGGTCACAAAAAGGCTGCAACTGGGTTCTAGTGTTCCTACCTCTACTGGCACATCATCTCGAGGTACAGGAAAATTGACCGTTGGTTCCAAAATTTGCAGCACTATTGAAGGGGGAAAATGTTCTTACTGTGGTAATAAAAAACACACCCATGATAATTGCTTCAAACTCCATGGATACCTCGACTGGTGGCTATGAAGAAACGACCAGGTGTAGTTGTAAGCACAGGGATGGCAGCTGTGGTGACAACTGACTCTCCACTATCTCTAATTCCCCAAGCTGAATTGTCAACAGATGGAGGTCCTGACTCTGACTTAGGTACATTTTGCTCTACATTTATTTCCTCTTTGCAGGAAGATAATACACGTGGTGGTTCGCTACTTGACTCCGAGGCCACTGACCACGTGACCTTTGATGTTGCAGATTTTACTCAAAAACCCCCACCACGACGCACTAGTGTTGCAAATGCAAATGGGACTCTTTCTCCAGTCACAGGGTTTGGTTCTGTGACTTTGTCTCCCTCTCTTCAATTATCTAATGCATTAGTTGTGCTATCACTTAGCCATAAATTATTATCTGTTAGTCAAGCTACTAAAGAATTAAATTGTGCGATGCTAATTTACCCTACTTTTTGCCTTCTTCAGGATATTTTCACGAGGTAGATAATTGGGTGTGGTACTAGAAGAGGGGGATTATACTATTTGGAAGATTTCAGCGTGGGAAGTACACATCTTGTTCGGGGTGATGCTCGAGAACGACAGATTTGGCTCTGGCATCGTTGTTTGGGACATCCATCATTTGGTTATTTGAAACATTTATTGCCTGATTTGTTTTTGAATATGGATATTCTAGTTTAAAATGCGGTACTTGCATTGTTGCTAAAAGTCATCGCAACTCATATCCTTTGAGCATGAATAAAAGTAGTATCCCCTTTGCTTTAATTCATTCTGATGTGTGGGGTTCTTCTCCTATTTCTGTTGGATCTGGGGTTCGTTGGTTTACTATTTTTGTTGATGACTGCACTCGCATGACTTAGCTTTACTTGATGAAAACTAAGGATGAAGTGCTACAAATATTTCATTCGTTCCGTACTATGGTTTAAACACAATTTTCTGCTAAGATCCAAGTCCTTCGATCTAATAATGGTGGTGAATATGTCACTTCCGCACCTACTTTGAGCAACACGGCCTCATTCATGAGACATCTTGCCCCCTGACACCTCAGGAAAATGGAAGGAAGAATTGCCATATTCTTGAAACTGCTCGGACCTTGTTACATGGTACTCATGTACCTCATCGATACTGGCCTGATGCGGTATCCATTGCTGTACATCTACTAAATCGAATGCCAAAAAAAATCTTAAACTTTAAGACTCCCCTCCAGGTCCTAGCATCCTATGTTCCTCTACCTACAGTCCTAATGCTCCATTCTCGAGTATTTGGTTGTGTGGTCTATGTACATCTTAATAAGAACCAACGAACAAAACTTGACCCTTATGCTCTCAGATGTTTATTTTTGGGATATGGTGTTCACCAAAAAGGCTACCGTTGTTATGACCCCGTGAAAAAACATTTCTATGTGACAATGGATGTCACATTTTTGGAATCTGATCCCTATTTTTCTTCTGGTACCAATTCTTCTCTTCAGGAGGAGAAACGAGATGAAGAGCAAAATTGGCTACACCTTGAGTGGCTAAACTCTAATATAGGGCCAAGTAAAGCAGTTGAACCGAACTCCTCAAGGCCAGAGCCGACAACTGATATGAATGCTTTTTTAGAAAATGACACTACATCTTCAGGGAATAACATTACACCTTTGGAAACTGAACCAAACCCCTCTTCTCCTCCAATACCTACAGACCCATCTCCCGAGAATATCTCTGAGGTAAGCAATCTTCATACATTTCTAAATGATTTGGATACTCATGCTTGTTATATATTACCTCTCAGGCATAATCGTGGTAAGCCACCAATTAGATATTCTCCGAATGTGGAGGAACGAAGGCCAAGATATCCAATTGCCAACTAAATGTCCACCATGAAGTTATCCGAACATCTCAAAGCTTTTGCACACGTACTATCTTCAAATCATGTTCTGACTGGAGTTCAAGAAGCTTTATCTGATCAGAAATGGGCTCAAGCAATGAAAAAAGAAATGGAAGCATTATTGAAAAATGACACATGGATTCTGGTGCCATTACCTGAAGGAAAGAAAACGGTAGGGTGTAAATGGTGTTTTCCATCAAACACAAGTTAGATGGCTCCATTGAACGGTACCAACCAAGATTGGTGGCAAAAGGCTATACACAAACATATGAAGTTGATTACCAAGAAACTTTCTCACATGTTGCTAAACTGAATACTGTTAGAGTACTGTTATCTCTCGCAGCTAACCTGGACTGGCCTCTACATCAGTTTGATGTAAAAAATGCATTCCTTCACGATGATCTCGAAGAAAAAGTATACATGGACATTCCTCCAGGCTACACAGCATCCTTAGAAACCAAAGTAGTATGCAAATTACAACGATCATTGTATGGGTTGAAACAATCACCTCTAGCATGGTTTGGGCGCTTTAGTTTGACGATGAAGAAGTATGGGTTCCAGCAAAGTAATTCAGATCATACATTATTCTTAAAGCATAAAGGTGACAAGATAACTACTTTAATAATCTATGTAGATGACATGATTATCACAGGAGACGATAAGGAAGAGATATCCCAAATTCAGAGACAAGTGGCAACTAAATTTGAGATGAAAAATTTAGGAGGGCTCAAATATTTTCTAGGGATAGAAGTAGCTAGATCAAAACAAGGTTTATTTTTATCTCAAAGAAAGTACGTGTTGGATTTACTTACTGAAGTAGGAATGTTGGAATGTAAACCAACAGATACTCCAACTATCCAGAATCTATGAGTGTTGTGCGTGACGTGTACGAAGATGCTATTGGTTCTGGTATGGCAGATAATACAGGCAATGTTGGTGTTGGGATGGTGATGGTGCATCCTTTGTTAGGTTTTATTATTATTATTTTTTGGGTGGTTGATGGTTGTGTTGATGGCAGTTATGATGCAATTAGTGTTTCTGGTGGCCACGATGATTTAGGCGATGGTGTTGATGCAACCATCGTGGTGATATTTAGTGGTGGTGTTGGTTGTCAACGTCGTGGATTAATTATTAATCTTTGACCTTAAACTTCCATAATTTGTGACTAAAAAAATAATCTGCAACCAATAAATGTGAAAATATGTGACCTATGACCTCAAATAATCTATAACCTACAAAATTTTTGATTTGTGATCACGAACTGATCTGTGATCAATTAGTTCGATGCTATGTGACCAACAAATAAATCTGTGATTTATAATTATGAATATGTGACCATTAATCATATAACTGTGATTTTATTATATTTATTTAATAGATATTTTTAATTAATTAAATATATATATGAGTTTTGAATTTTTAAACTATCTATTTGATTTTTGAATTAGTGTAAATAATACAATTGAATTATGAATTTTTCCTTTTATATAAATGCAAGTGACCCGATCAAAATTCGGATTTGACCGGGCCAATAGGTATTTTTGAATAATTTTCAGGCCGGTTCAGCCCAGTTCAACCTGATTGGTTTTTAAACCAAATTTCAAAACTCTTTTACATTGAAATTGTAGGTACCAAAGATTTGAACCCTTGACCTCTAAGTAAGTAGAAAATAGCCGTACCACTAATGCACCACTAATGCAAACAATATTATATTGTCTTTTGTTTAATAAATTATATCTAACCTATATATAATTTGCTACTTGCAGAAACTTTTTCAAAAAAATTAGTCCAACATTTACATTCACTTCGTAATTTCAAATAATTATTTTATATACTTATTTTGTTTGAAAAAAAAATTAATTTTAACTAAGATAAATTGAATAGATAATACACAGAATTTTTGTCAATAACTAATAAATAATTTGTAAATCACAAAAAGGGAAAAAAATATTTTTTTTAATATAATATATAAAATTATAAAATCAAAATTTAGCCATCATTACTGATGAATGAGTTTAGAAAATCATTAATTTAAATGTATAGAAAAATTAGTGAGAAAGAACTTTTAAATTTTAATTTTGTCTCAAACAAAAAAATAAAAAAATTATACTTTAAAAATTATTAAATTATTTTTAAGTAATGACACACCGATCCGACCACCGGTTCATTGGTCCAACTAGTAACCTGGTACCTTGATCGGGTCGATATCCGAGTCGGGTTTGATAACTATGATATATGGCATATCATGGAATTCACTACTAAATATTATCACATAGCTATTTACATTCAAGGCTCTAAAATCTTAGTATTTTGTCTACAAAAGAAAACTACTTAGTGCTTGTTTGATAAATCTTTAATAAAATTTTATCAACTTTTTCACTGGTTACACTTGAATTTTAGCCACACATTTCATAGGACTAGCAATTTTTTATTAATTTTTCGATCACATATTTCATTAACCTTTATCAAAATTTATTAAAACTTTTATTAAAAACTTTGTCAAACAACCTGTATTCATATCTTATTAGGTCATGCACCAATACAACAAGGCCAGAATAGAATAACTCCACGAATGGAAAACTCCTTATTCTTTTGATGCTGAAGAAAAAGGTAGCTCTAGATCATTGATCTGATTTGTTCCAATTGCATATAAATCAAGTTTCTTCCAGCCGAAATTGTTGAATTTCAATTCCTTAACGTGCAAGACTCCCTCATGCATGCATGAAACCTCTCCCACCACCTGAAGAGAAATTGAATGAAGGCAGCTGCCATTTTTGATTGGTTTATAAATTCTCCTAGCCACCATTTTGCATCTTTTTGTTGACTAAAATCTGAAAACTGAGGCAAGGAAATTATGCATTAAATGCAGCCGAAAAATGCAGGAAAAATAGCAGGTTTTTTTTGCCAGAAGTTTCAGTCGGTTTGCTACCCATTTTGTTAAAACACAAAGCACCTACATGGCCGATTTTGGACCAGAAATTTTAGGCGGTTTGCAGCAAAATTTTCTTATAAATATGGGATGCATTTGTAGAGAATAATATGCCCCAAGAGAGAGGGAAAGTCCCATTTTTAAGAGGGTTTTTTTTGAGAGTTTGTAATACTCTATTGTAAATTCTATTCAAGATAGAAATAGAATTGTTTTTCATCTTCTCTTCTCGTGATCGGAGAATCACAACATGATCAAGGAAATCTCTTTTACGTACAGTGTTGTAGCATCGTTACAATTAAGCATAAGACGATTCAGACCAGTGAATATCTAATCCGCCCCAGTTTTTCTCCGGCACCCTTAAAGCTTTCCAGGCAGCCTTAGATGCATAAACAATGTTGTTATAACAAGGAGGCTGATAATCATGGTCTGAATCATAGCCTAGTGTAGAATCACACTTATCGACCACCATTGCATTCATACTCCTCCCATTCCCATAAATAGTAATATTTTTTAAGCACCTCTTGTCATTGTAGAATCACCCCATTGACAGTGCCACAACTGGCTTATTATCTGAGTGGTAATTATTGACGGGCCACCACCATCGCCACCGTCCTCGAAACTGTTGATGGTCAGAATTGCTTTCGTTTTGCTTGAAATCTTTGGTGAGCAATTGTATATGTCATAATAATACTTGCCTTCCTCACAACACTCAGAGTCATTCTGCTGATTGCATTCCCCTTTATGTAGTTTCTTGCCACTTGGTTTGCAGGATTGAGCACCAACCTCTAAATTCAAGGACGTGATAATCAGAAACAAAATGAGAACTGAAAAATTCTTCATTTTTTCCTTCTTTCGGGTTGTCAATGGTTTGTTGTGCAATTCAGTTGATTCTCAACATATATAGCATGGCACGGTATGAGACAAGACATCGGTCAAGTTGTGTAATGTTGG